CCCCCCCCCCCCCCCCCCCCCCCCGCCTACAAATCGCTTATCTGGCCGACCGCTTATCCGCCCGTTTTTGGCGCCAATCCTACTGGAAAATCGCTTTCAAATCGTTCAGCGGGACTTATGATCGCTTATAAGCGCTTATAAGCGCTTTTAAATTCAAAAAAGCGCTTTTTTGAATTATGACATCAATTATAGTCGATTATAAGCGATTTTTTTTTGAACAGTTTATAATCGTAAAAAAAATCGATTGTAAACGGTTTTTTTTTTAAAAGCGCCAAGAAAGCGCTCAATAAGAGATTATCAGCGCCGATAATAAAATATTGTTTATGGAAACTTGCCAACATACCAATGATTGTTCCGTTGATGATGATGAATACAGCTGTAACGATGAACCTATTTGATAATTCATGTGCGTGTGTGTGAGATGTATAGAAGGAAACAGCTAACTACATTGAGAGAGTAACTTGTGGCAGCTCTAAACAAATGACACATTGTAGTATGGATAATACCTATCAACACCATCTACTGCTAGCAGACAATTACTACTTGTAAATCTTAGCCCATATTATTCAATAGCTGTTTTAATATTCGTTCAAACCTCTTTCTAGATACAATATGACACCAGACACGTGCGTAAGTGATGTAGTAAGATCTTTTTAACAATAACCTATTATATACCATGCCATGGACGTATGATGCCCCAAATTTCTAACAAAGTTACTGTTACTGTAAGCCCTTTTTAAGCGCTAAAGACAGGGCTCAAAGTTAACCAGGTGCAAACTATATCATGGTTATATTATATTATATAGAGTTATGTGGTATGTTTTGTAACTCACCACTAACCACATAAACACACACACAAACATACGCACAAACACACGCACAAACACATGCACAAACACATGCACAAACACACGCACAAACACGTGAATACAGTTTACGGTGGTCCCATTGTCTCATCCCATAAAATACTGATCTAAATATTTTTTAAATATTTGCTGTAAAATATCGTAGGTACTAACTGGATTGTGAGAGAAATAAGTTGTAAAAAAGTAAAAAAGAAGATAATGAGGTGTTGTAAAGAGTTAGACACTAAATATCCACTAATAGGATCGCAGCTCACAACATGACGTTTCCAACAGCTGCTACGGATGTAATAAGGTTTTTTGACGCTGTTGAGACTGACCGGTTGCTCAATACAAATGATCTTTTTAAAAACCCACAAAACTGATGCAATTGCAGTCCTCTTATCTTACTACATCTTACTATCTTACTATATATAAAGCGAGACGATATATATATATATATATATCTGTGCCATTTTACTGACACCACGGCATCAACTTTAACGCGACTTTCCGCAAAAAACCGTAAAAGATATACAACTGGAACTTTTTTGGCTGGGTCAAATGCTTTAATGGCCTCCAAATCAGCATGAAAAAATAAAAAATTGGCCAAGGAATAATGATTTTAGAGCCTAAAATTTGGACCCCCAAGTGGTGTCAAAAACGCCAATTAAATAGGTAATAATTATTTTAGTATTTTGAGTCTTGACACCGTTTAGGGTTATATTATACGGGTTCCTGCTAGTATATATAAAGCGAGACGATATAGGATACAAGGATACAAGGATACAAGGATACAAGGATACAAAAGTGATAATTATTTTATTGAATTCACAATAGTTATAATTCTGAAATAATTTAAGGTTACACAATTCTAGTTATTTACAAATGTGTAGGGATAAAATAGAAATGTTTTATAATGCTATTTTTGAGGTCCTATAGCATTATGCATTGGCCAGTATTTGAGTAGAAATCTGGGCTCTTATAGTAGGCTGTGAAATTTTCGTTCACAGAGAGAATTGAATGGATTGCTCTTGCTGTGGCAGTAAATTTTGTAGGGTCTAGTGTTTTATCGGATAGCAAACCGGCTAGGTCAGTAATATTTTTGGGATGGAAGTTAAATTTTTCTCTAACTGAGGAGTAGAGTAAACAGTCAGTTAGAACATGAATTTCGTCCTCAATAGGCTTAAGCCCCTTGCTGAAAAAGCAAAAAGTGCACCATCGATGTTCTCTTGGTACTAGGGGGGTTTCGTAACGGCCCCTCTCAATGTAAAGATTGTGGCAGCTAATACGAAACCTTGTTAAGCTTTTCCGAGCATCGGGGATCTTAACCACTCCTAAGTATGTTTCTGGTTCAAAATCATGTTTAATTTGATTGTAGAATTCTAATTTAGGTGAGGATGCCTTGGCAGATTTCCAGGTATCCACAAATTCTTCCCTCATGTTGTGACTGATTTGGGTAGAGAGCTTGGATTTTGAAGAGGATGAGTGGGGGAAGTTATATTTGGTGAGAAGATTAGAGATGTTGGTGTACCAAGGAAGGCCCAGCATAATCTGCTCGTGAAATGCAGCGGAGAGAAGTTCATTTTCAGTGCTTTCAAGGCGACTATAGAAATCTATTGCAAGTTTGCAGGCTTCAAAGAAGAGGGGGTGGCGCCCACTTTCACCCCAGCAGCCTATATTTGATGCTTTTGAATGGACAGACAAGGACCACTTGATAAACTTAAGGTGGAATCTTTCATAGTGGTCTTGTGAGATGTACCTGAGAGTATGCTGGGGGTTGGCTTTGCTATCTGTTTTGGAGAGGTATCTCATGGTTTTTGAGTGAGGACATAAGATTTGGCAGCCATAGAGCAGTATCGGTTTTATTAGAGAGTCAAATAGAATGTTTAGGGAACGGTGAGAGAGGGCATCTTTGACGATATTGCCTTTGAGGCCATAGAGAGCACGGAGAGCCTTGGCCCTCAGTTCAGTATTTGCTGCTGTAAAAGATCCATTTCTGTGGAATATAATGCCAAGATAGCAGTATTTTTCGGTGTGTTGGATGGGCTGGCCTCCCAAAATGAATGTTTCATAGGATTGTTTTCTTTTAGGAGGGCAGAATATGAGAATCTTGGTTTTTTTAATGTTTACTTCAAGGCCCATAGAGTTACAGAAGTCGAATAGGATGTTTGTATTGTCTTGCAAGGCCTTGGGACTTAGGGCAAGTAGGACAAGATCGTCAGCCCAGAGCAGATGTGATATTAGGACGTCAGCTAGAATAGGATAATCACCAACAGATTTCAGGAGAGATGACAAGTCGTTGATATAGATTTTAAAAAGGTCCGGTGATAGGGGGTGTCCCTGCTCTGTTCCTTTTCCAATGTCAATATTAGGGGACAAGAGTTTGGAGATTTTTATATGAGCTATTGAGTTTCTATACATATCACTTAGGCAATTGAAGAAGTTTCCAGTTATTCCAAGGCATGTGATTTTGTGCAGAAGGAGGTCCCTACATACAGTGTCAAAGGCCTTTCTTAGATCAACAAAGCATGCATAGAGGCGAGCTTTCTTAACCTTGGTATATTTGTCAATGACTGTCTTAAGGGTAAAAACGTGGTCATTTGTTTGAGCACCCTTCGAGAACCCTAGTTGTTCTTTTGGGTCAGGGCAGTAGAGCTTTTTGAAGTACAGGAGACGCTCAAGTAAGATGCTAGAAAACAGTTTACCCATACAGCTACCAACAGCTATTGCTCTGTAGTTATCCGGGCTGAAAGGGTTGCCAGACTTGTAAATAGGAGTAATGATGCTGGTGTGCCATGGATAGTAACCGGAGACCAGTGAGTGGTTGAAGTTTTTGAGGATGGCTTTGAGACAAAGCGGGGTTACGCTCTGAAGCATCTCGTTGGATATCAAGTCGTTTGAGCAACTTTTACCTTTTTTGAGATTTTTGATGGCAGAGGTCACTTCAGATTCTGACATGAGCTTATTTAGGATATCCAGATCTGGTGGTTCAGGGTAATGTTTGTGATTGTGGTGAGTGAGATCTGGCTCCTGGTCTGGTTTTTTATAAAGGGATGCAAAGAAGTTATGGAAGCTAGCTAAATCAAATTTGTCAAGTAAGGGGCTAGTGTCATGTTCTTGTTTAAGCCGTTTAAATTTTTTCCAGTCGAGTATGTGACCTTCTTCTATAGCTTCATTTAACTTCTTAAGGAAAGCTACTTTCTTACTGTTTACATAATTGCTATGCTTGTTGCGTTGCTTAAAGTATTCTCGTCTGAGGATACTGTTACAGTGCTTACTACCAAGCCGGTTTGCTAGCCTATTTAGGTTCCGCCGCGAGGAGTTGACTTGTGGGTCGAACCATTTCTTACGGGCAGAATTTTTGGGAGGCTTTTTCACTTTTAAGGCTATATCAGCAGCACTGTGGAGACATTATATTATATATATAATCTTACTATATATAAAGCGAGACGATATATATATATCTGTGCCATTTTACTGACACCACGGCATCAACTTTAACGCAACTTTCCGCAAAAACCGTAAAAGATATACAACTGAAACTTTTTTGACTGGGTTAAATGCTTTAATGGCCTTCAAATCAGCATGAAAAAATAAAAAATTGGCCAAGGAATAATAATTTTAGTGCCCAAAATTTGGACTCCCAAGTGGTGTCAAAAACGCGAATTAAATAGGTAATAATTATTTTATATATATATAGTCTCTCGAGTCTTGACACCACTTTAGGGTTAGACGGGTTCCTGCTAGTATATATAATATCCGTACCATTTTACTGACACCACGGCATCAACGTTAACACGACTTTCCGCAAAAACTGTAAAGGATATAATATACAACTTGAACGTTTTTGACTGTTTCAAATGCTTTAATGGCCTTCAAATCAGCATGAAAAAATACAAAATTGGCCAAGGAATAAGAATTTGAGTGCCCAAAATTTAGACGCGAATTAAATAGGTAATAGTCTCTTGAGTCTTGACACCACTTTAGGGTTATACGGGTTCCTGCTAGTAATATCTACAAGTATAAAGAACACCCAGTACAATAAATAATTATTTGAAGACACAACTTTTGAACATAATATTGATAAAACGATCTTAACTTCAACAACATATTGACATTTAATATAAACAAAAGTAAAGTTAACAAAGTTCATACCTCTTTAGACAGTCTGCCGAACAGATCTCCCCCGCGAAGAAACTGTAAGATTAAATACAGCTTGCCCTCTGTTTGGAACGCTGCAAAACAATTTCACTATTGGTTATGTGACATTTCATTGTAATTTCATTATATTATGTTAAATGTGATATTTTATTGTAATTTCATTATATATGTTATGTGATATTTCATTGTAGTTCACTGCCATGTAAATGTGAGGGCAAGTTTCCATAAACGATATTTTATGATCGTCGCCGATAATCGCTTATTGAGCGCTTTTTCGGCGCTTTTTTTTAAAAAAACCGTTTACAATCGCTTTTTTTACGATTATAAACGGTTCAAAAAAAATCGCTTATAATCGACTATAATTGATGTCATAATTCAAAAAAGCGCTTTTTTGAATTTAAAAGCGCTTATAAGCGCTTTTAAGCGCTTACTAGCGTCGCTGAGCGATTTGAAAGCGGTTTTCCAGTAGGATTGGCGCCAAAAACGGGTGGATAAGCGGTTGGCCGGATAAGCGATTCGTAGGCGCTTTTTTGAACCATTTATAAGCGATTATAAGCGCTTATAAGTGGGGTGCAATTTAGCTGTTTGTAAAGGGCAAACAAAGCGCTTATAAGCGCTTTTAAAATTGAGTCAGGAAAACGCTATATTACATCTTATAACCGCTTATAATCGATTATAATCGCTTTTTTAGAAATCGCTTATAACGGCTAATTCATCGCTATTTTACCGCTTTTACCGCTTTTCCTATCATCCATGGCCAGGTGAGCAGGAATTAAAAAGCGCTTATAAGCGCTTTTTTGATGCTGCCCCTAACCTGGTCGGAACGGGGTAGTGCCCGGAATTTAAAAGCGCTTATAAGCGCTTTTTCAATGCTGCCCCTTACCTGGTCGGAACTGGAGAGTGCCTGGAATTAATAAGCGCTTATAAGCGATTTTTCAATTCCCCTTGGTCGGAACTGGAAATCAGAGTGCCCGCTTATAAGTGCTTTTCTGTGCAACCTGGGGTGCACCGGCAGAGTCAGATCAGGATTTAAAAGCGCTTATAGGCGCTTATAAGCGCTTATGATCGCTTTTCTGTCGCTTTTCCCATCACCCATGGGCTGGTTGGCAGGAATTAGAAAGCGCTTATAAGCGCTTTTTCAATGCTGCCCCTAACCTGGTCGGAACGGGGGAGTACCCGAAATTAGAAAGCGCTAACAAGGGAGAGTGCCAGGAATTAGAAAGCGCTTATAAGCTTAACGGCCGGCGATACTCGTAAAATATTTGTTTCAGATATTACGTTGAGTCCAACTCGGCGTGCGTCCTGGTAAGTTATAAACTTACAATTATAAGCACAAATCTGAACATCCGTTCACCTGGAGTGCACGGAATTTAAATGCGCTTATAAGCGCTTTTCTCGATGCCCCTAAACCTGTCATGCACTGGCGGGAGTCAGGATTTGAAAAGCGGTTATAAGCGATTACAATCACTTTTTATTACTGGTTTTTACCGCTTTATCTATCATTTATCAACATGGATTTAAACATAGTTGTTTGACTGGCGATCTAGAAGCCAAGCAAAAAGGCTAAGTGCACGGCGCGGCAAAGTTCTCCGACAATAATTGTCAGAAATTGTAAAGCGCTTGCAAGCGTTTATTTATATGTTGTTAATGGTGGCGGTTGTCCTGGTACGGTGGCGGTCGATGCCCGCTGCGTCATCAGTCATACACACTTCACATTCAGAACTTGCAAAAGAAAAGTATAGTATATGAAATTAAATTATTGCGCTGGGCCACGCTCAGTCTGTCAACGAGTATGACAGGCCTGTTCATGTTATTCCAAGGAATCTCTAGTCGGGCTGAGCGAATCACGACGTCTGAAAAAAGTGCGGTGCTCATTGAAAGTTAGTGTGTGCGTGACCAGCATTTATGATTTAAGTACTTGTTCATAATCAATCGCAAATCGTGGACATAAAAAACACGTGCACGCTGATTGACCATTGTTAATGATCTGGCCCGGCGCGCGCTACTTCGTAGCACTTGCCATCGGGCAAGTGATATTTCGAGAAGAAAGCGGCGCGCGCTACTTCGAAGAAATTTAGACGAGTAACATCCGTCAATGGTCGAGTCAAGCACGCTGAGTACCAATAGGAAAAAAAGTAATGTATACGCTAGAAAAGCCGCGCGCGTGCTGAGATAGCTTGTAAAATCTGGTTATTAGATATATACAGTGGGGTGACATATGTTTTCGTCACTTCTGATAATGACAATACAAACAGCGTTAAACTAACAATTTTCATTAAACCATAACTCCACTTCAATTCCGGACCACCGATTTACAAAATTCAAAAATGGGTGTTTAGAGAAAATTCTGAACTTTTCTCGGACAGTAGAAATTAAGTTCATTCGTGCTTCAGAAGAGACTGGCAGGCCCATAAATAAGAGGTTTGATCACGATAATGATACTATTTATGAAGGAGCACATGTTTTAATAGCAAGCGACGAACTTTTTTCTACTTCAATATTACCATGAAGTTTAAAACGGAATATCTTTGTACTGCATCGTTCGATTTCGATAAAATTGATGAGGTAACAAGCGCTTCTACTAAATCGCTCGCCCAAATTTTAAGAAAATTCTTGTGAAAAGGCCTTTGGGTATGATATCGATATTGATCTGAATCGGTGTATTTTTTGGACGCTGATCCCGAATCACCCGCCATGAAGTAGGGTAAAAATACTTCCCTGGAGAGTTACATGGGCAAAACCGTTTTACTTTTAGTCACGTGCTGCCGTTGCTCTATCCAGATAGGTAGTCCGCCATCGACAGTGAGCCGCGCGTGCCGACTGTATAGTAGTATGGTTTTTAGCGCTAATTTCGGCCAGCACAATTTTCTTCAAACAAAAAGATATTGAGTATCCTTCCCGACCTCCGATTGCAACAAAAATTGGTGAGCTTACTTACTTACTAATAGACTTACAAGGAAAGTGTCCGAAATAATACGACAAAAATCAACGAATTTGGTCAAATTACGCGACTTTTACCAGGTTAAGGGGCATTGAGAAAGCGCTTATAAGCGCTCTTTAATTCCGGGAACTCCCCCGTTCCGACCAGGTTACTGTTAGGGCCTAGGGGCAGCATTGAAAAAGTGCTTATAAGCACTTTTTAATTGCTTATAAGCACTTTCTAATTCCTGCCAACCAGGCTATGGGCAATAGGAAAAGCGGTAGAAAAGCGGTAGAAAAGCGATCATAAGCGCCTTTAAGCGCTTTTAAATCCTGACTCTGCCGGTGACCCCAGATTGCACAGAAAAGCACTTATAAGCGGGCACTCTGATTTCCAGTTCCGACCAGGTTAAGGGTAATTGAGAAATCGCTTATAAGCGCTTTTTAATTCCGGGCACTCCCCCGTTCCGACCGGGTTAGGTGCAGCATTGAAAAAGTGCTTATAAGCGCTTTCTAATTCCTGCCAACCAGGCCATGGGTGATAGGAAAAGCGGTAGAAAAGCGATCATAAGCGCCTATAAGCGCTTTTAAATCCTGATCTGACTCTGCCGGTGCACCCCAGGCCCAGGTTGGACAGAAAAGCACTTATAAGCGGGCACTCTGATTTCCAGTTCCGACCAGGTAAAGCCAAAGGGGAATTGAGAAATCGCTTATAAGCGCTTTTTAATTCCGGGCACTCCCCCGTTCCGACCAGGTAAGGGGCAGCATTGAAAAAGCGCTTATAAGCGCTTTTAAATTCCGGGCACTACCCCGTTCCGACCAGGTTAGGGGCAGCATCAAAAAAGCGCTTATAAGCGCTTTTTAATTCCTGCTCACCTGGCCATGGATGATAGGAAAAGCGGTAAAAGCGGTAAAATAGCGATGAATTAGCCGTTATAAGCGATTTCTAAAAAAGCGATTATAATCGATTATAAGCGGTTATAAGATGTAATATAGCGTTTTCCTGACTCAATTTTAAAAGCGCTTATAAGCGCTTTGTTTGCCCTTTACAAACAGCTAAATTGCACCCCACTTATAAGCGCTTATAATCGCTTATAAATGGTTCAAAAAAGCGCCTACGAATCGCTTATCCGGCCAACCGCTTATCCACCCGTTTTTGGCGCCAATCCTACTGGAAAACCGCTTTCAAATCGCTCAGCGACGCTAGTAAGCGCTTAAAAGCGCTTATAAGCGCTTTTAAATTCAAAAAAGCGCTTTTTTGAATTATGACATCAATTATAGTCGATTATAAGCGATTTTTTTTTAACCGTTTATAATCGTAAAAAAAGCGATTGTAAACGGTTTTTTTTTAAAAAAAGCGCCGAAAAAGCGCTCAATAAGCGATTATCGGCGACGATCATAAAATATCGTTTATGGAAACTTGCCAATGTGACGTGGTTATGAATTTGTCTTTTGGAGCACAAGCGCAACAGTTTTAAAACAGGGCTGCAACAGTGTAAGGGTCCTTATAATTATTGAATACTGATATTGTTAGATGTTGATATTACCACAACATGTACAATAATGAAGTTTTCTATTCAGTATTCAACAAGATGGGACAAGATAGCATGGAACTTTAAACTTAAGTTTCCGTGGAATTATTCAAACTCACAACGTAATTGCTTTTTTCTCCATACTAACATACCATCTCTCTTGGTATGTGTATATTATATAACGCAGGTTTGGGAAAGTTGAAGCCTGGAGCTTTTAATATGAACATTACCAAACTTTACGTTGAATATTTCATAACCAGATAATATCTGACAACCAGATACATATAAAATGAGGGGGGGGGGGGGGGCAGGGGGTGGCAGGCCATGGTACTCGTTTAATAACTAATATGTTTCATTACCAGAATCCAGATACCTCACGACAAGATCATGATGATCAGGAATATGATTGTTGGAGTTGTAACCATCTTAATGCCTCTAATATTTGTATAACCTGCTTCCGTGATATATATTGTTTAACTAGGCTTCTGCCGACTGTATGTTTCATAACCACCTCCAGGCACCAATTGCCATAATTTCGAAGTTTTGATCAAGTATTATATATTATATACACTGTATTAAGTTTCATATTTATTTTTGTTGCTGTCGGAGAGGCGAGTCAACATAAGATTTAGGAGTCTGAATTATTTAACTTAAAAATTCATCACAAGAGCTCCCACCATGGCCTAGGTAATTCGCTAATATATTATGTAAGTAGCCCTTACCATAAAGGCATAAACTCACCGAACAAGTAAGTTTGCTAAAGTAATACTATTACTATGAGATTATCGAGTTTATAAAGTTTATAATGTATAAATGGTTTATAATGTTTATAATGGTTTATAAAGTTTATAATGGTTTGTACCTTCTTAAATAGAGCTTCAGAAGCTTATTATCCCTCATTACTTAAAATAAATACACTAGTCTAAGTTATTTGTGTCTGTCATTTGTTTGGCGTGCAAACTGAGAGATGCTTATTTGGTGTAAGTACACGTTAGTCAGTACAATGACACTAGAATGCACGCCATGAAGGGTCGACGTTGCAGATAAGACTTTATCGCAAAGTGTTATCTTGCTAGTTTCCCAGTAATTTTCAAGGCGTTAAACCCCCGTCAAAACCGCCGATTCGTAACTGATAAGTGTAGTTATTATCCATGATGACCAAATTGCTGTGAGGTAAAAAAACAGGGCGAAGGTGCGTCACCAAGTGGCACTTTACATCTAGCTCTTCTGAGAAATCAACCTATTTATAACTTTATTTGATAGCACAGTGTACCCTGTACTAAGTACTTGTGTGTTCTCACGGATTCTTTTTTGAACTGATAATGATTTTTAACTGATAATGATGGTGTCAATATTCTAAATATTTCATTACGAAATATGGACTTTTATTTATAAATATTCTAATTATATTTAATATCTATCATTATTTTATGGACTTTAGAGTAAGCAAAAACTTGAGCAGTTATTTGTGTACAGTGGAAACTAGAGCAGAGTACTATATCGCTGTATCGCAGGATAGAACATATCGTCACATGCAGACACTCTGAAACCCTGACAATGCAAGTCAAAACTTCACACAACTTTTATACATTAATTGTATACAAAGAATGTGTGCTTACATTTTAGAGACACTCTCCAGTTGTACTACATTCCTGGGCAACGGAGGGCACTTGTACATCATTATACAGATTATTATACTTGCCATATAATTATGTAGATGGTGTGTGAGGCTGACACGTTGTGAGCTTTTTTATTTAGCAAATTCAGCAATTCCGGACTCGTTGGATTACCGTGCAAAACTTACGCAATATTCCCGCAAAGACACTATAAAATGTGCAATGGTGTTGCAATGGCGTTGCAATGAGCTACTCAGTACCGTGATTGAGATTCAACCGCATACAAGAACAATTTATATTTTTCAATAGGAAGGGTATTATAGTACTACAGTATTATATTTACAGTACACTACAATGTAGATGTACAGTCCTACTGAAGGAGTATCCTCCTTATTTAACCCTCAATCACGTTTCCGATCATTCGGCTTAGTCGTCCGAGGAGACATTAAACAGATGTGTAATTTCGCATGGATCCAATGGAACCTTAGCTACTCCCTAGACTATGTGGCACTGGGATTTGAACGCTGGACAACTTCTCCAGAGGTAAATATTACATACCAGAGGTTCCATGGAAAATATTCTGAATGATCCCCTTAATTAGCACTTACCATATTTAAGGTCCACAATAAAGGGGTGTTTTATCTGAGCTAATATGTCACGTTCCATCTTTGTCCGCACTCTGTCTCGTACTGAAAATAATAAGTTATTATAGTACTGAAAATAATAAATTTATATTGTTATTTTTTACATAATAAACAATAAATTTATACATTACATTATGATATGTTATGTTATCATTTAATGGTTCTCCTGGTTCTAGGAGTTAACGAATCAACGAACGTTATTTAAGATGAAACTGAATCGTTGATTGGAAATTGAAAATTGGCTGACTCATTCATACATTCATTTATCTGCCGGCTGCCCTCGCAACAAGAAATGCGGCCGCTTTTTTTGTGGATGGCCTCTCAATTTCCCGATCCGTGATGGCGTATTTTATCATATTCCATACAACCTGGGGACCCCAGTTTTTACTGTTTATAAGCATGCAGATATGGCGGAGTGACAGGCCGAGCGCCACCAAGTTAATATAATTCCATATTGAATTTGAAAATCGTGTATATTTCTATGTAAACATATGCTTATTGTTTATGCAACCTGACACCCGACACGGATCTGTGCAAAATAGTATTAGTAACTCAAAATAATAATAGTATGTTATCAATTAGTGCCTAGTGGGATATGTACATGGTGAAATTAGTAAAGTACTTGGTCCGTTCAGCGCCTCGCGCCAACAATTATTTAATTCAGATTATTGCGCAAAATAACTTTGCGCAGGTAGTCACATGGGCGATAACAGTGCACGAGCTGAGGGCACGTATGTACGCACGCACGCACGCTCGCACGGTCGCAAAGCTACCATATACAAAAAAAACCTCGTTCGCTAACCCTTGTCCTTGACTCTTTTGTGCCTTCGGCACTTTGAGTCATGGATCGGGACAAAATTTCGCAGCGGTTACACCACACACGATACATTTTCCTACCAGACACCACCAATTCCATTTTACCTTATTAGTCCACTAACATATTATAGTATTTAAATTGAAGCTTCGACTCTCAGCGCACTTAATGAGTCGCGTTGACTCTTTGATCGATCAGTCTGTTACTTGCAAAACTTCACACAACTTTTATACATTAATTGTATACAAAGAATGTGTGCTTACATTTTTTAGAGATACTCTCCAGTTGTACTACATTCCTGGGTAACGGAGGGCACTTGCACATTATTATGCAGATTATTATACTTGCCATATAATTATATAGATGGTGTATGAGGCTGACACGTTGAGAGCTTTTTAGCAAATTCATCAATTCCGGATCGTTGGATTACATAATTAACGCAATATTCCCGAAAAGAAAAACCTTATTGTTATGCTTTTATCTAAGTTATCATTTTTATTTAATATTCAATACTCAATAATAAATTTCAAATGTCTGATCCATAATCGAAACTCTTACGACGAACAGCCCTCAATTCATATTCTTAAAAAGCATGCCGAAGCATGGCGTACAAGGTAAGATCTGTCGAAACTCGAAGTAGCTTAACTTGAGCACCGGATAATTCATATAATAATATATGATTTGGAGTTGAATTTTAGTATTTTATTTGTTGAACGACTCTCCAGCAAGCCAATAGAACATCAGTAGATCCTAGGACGTCGGTCAAACTGTTTTAATTTCATAGCAAGCAGGGTGCTAGCGCCGTCTTCTGGTAAGATTGTTAGGTGTAACTAGGGAACACAGTTTTTCTATATCCCAGGAGAAATTGTTTAAAATATCTTGACATACCAGTGGTTTACGGTTCAAAAGAGGGGGGATTCGTTCGCGTTGGTTCACCGTGATTGAACACCTTGATACCAGACGTGACGTGCCACGTGGAACACAAAACTAGCTCCAGTTTAAACACCAAAGGAATCTCAATTAAAGAAAGATTTAGCTCAGCTCTGACCAGTTCCTTTCAGGAACATCCTCCAGGTTTACTCTCATTGTTTTCTTGACTGACTAACAATATGTCTTTCTCATCCTCATATTATAATAGAGTAACAATAATTTTCTTTGTTTCATCATTTTTTGATTACACATTAGCATGTGATTTAGACTTAGATTTAATTCAAGTTAAATTATTTTAAAGTCATACTTCCAAAAGTTAAATCATTTAGAGTTATTAAATGATATGGTTAAAGCTCATAAAGTCATAAGCCTGATTATGATCACGCGACGTTTGTTGGACCAGATTTTAATTTAAAAGCACAATATGGTACCAGAATTCGATCATTCCAGGGATATGCATAGGTGTTTACTTAGACAGGAATATGAGAATTAATTAATTAGTAGGCGAGACTATACCGACAATGAGGAACTTCCACTCGCATTCATAGTTTTTTAATTAATTTGTAGAATTGCATATTTGCAGATCGCGACTATAAAATTGATCCATTGCCGATAGTCAATTCATTTTACAATCTGTTAAAGCCTGTTTGAGTCATATTGTATATAGTGTACAACACTGTTCGCGAACACCTGTTCGTGTACAACTGTTTGTGTACAACTGTTCGTGTACAACTGTTTGTGTACAACTGTTCGGGAACAACTGTTCGCGAACACGTTTCGGGCTATCTGGATACTGTCAAAGCCTGCTCATTCTTTACCTTTTAGAGAAGCCTTTTTTAAAACTTTCATCGCGTAGAGCACCCCATTATCAACTCCACCACGCTTCCTCACTAGAAACACCTGAAAAAAGTTTTCATAACTATTTTCGTTTTTTGTTGTTGTTGTTTTTTTTGTTGTTGTTTTGTTGCGATAGAAAAAAGTTTGGTGAGTTTTTTTACAATTGAATGTTGCCACAAAAAAGACAATATGGAAATTAAAAATCATCTTAAAGTTTAAAAGTTCACCTTGCCAAATGAGCCCTGACCGAGGATGGTCATCAACTCAAAACAGTTAGGTCCGACCCGTTCTCCGTCCGTCCCTGTAACTGGTACTTCCACCACGTCATCCCCATTCTGCCGAGAATTCTTTGTTTAATTCTATACTTAGTTCTGCCGGTAGAACTATTCTTAGTTTTATTTGATACTCGATCTAGAATTGTCAGTTTAAAAAAATCGTCAATAAGTTCAGCAAATTAAGTTACCCATGAAATCCACTGATAACTGATTACTGGACTACGGTCAAAATTGGTTCAGTAGTAGTATGTTCAGTGTTCTTAGCGTTTTGAATGGAAACACTATGAGGCCCTCTATTATTTATTTATCAGAGATTCCAACCGCCAATTCGAAATTGTTCCACTTTAGTTCAAGATTTACTCCCCACGTTTCTCAGTACTCATTTCACTCAAATTTTGCACTTTATTTGACCAGTTGCAGTGAGAGAACAAATTTGCAGCATAATACATATATGAATATGTATATTCAACGGTACAGGGTACCCCATTAACAGTATGATTACTAATAGCCAAACTGCAACAGTGCAATATCAGAGTATTTGGTTTAATTAGCTTTTGTGAGATCTACACTTTTCTTTGGAGTTAAATAGTCGGAGTTGCACTTGCACTCGAATAGTGTCATTAAAATATTGATTATTATAAATATATAGAGTTCAGGTCACTTGAATATTATTAATAAAGAGTTCAGGTCACTTGTGACTTGTGTTATAATTTGAATACCTTACTCGGGAATATTATAGCGGGTTAATTTATGACTGGGAAAATTAATGACCGGGAAAAATATGGCGGACTTTCCCAAAACCCGCCAAATTATCCCGGTCATGTATTTACCGGTGGCCGACCTTTCACGTTTTTTTTTCAGAGGTAAACAAATTTTCAACCGAAATTTCTGTTTTTGTTACTTGTTAAAGAAGTTATTTCAATTTACAGTTATTGATATTACTCAGAAATAGAAAAAAAAACACGTCTATTTAAAGGAAAATAAATCTAAGCAATAATAAGTCAAATCTTCATTAAAGCGTTTTCTCATTATCATTATCGCTAATGTCCCCTCCATTATCATTATTGATATCCACCTGCTGCTGACCGTCAAATTCGAAGTTGTATTGTTGTCTTAACAAGACTTTCATTTTGTCCGCTAATGGGGCTACTGCTCTGAAGGTCAGCCGGAGCTTAAGATATATATTATATATTATTATTATTCTCGTTTTCTTCTATAAGGGGTCGTTCACATATTACGTAATCAATATTTTAGCAATTTTTACCCCCCTCCCCCCTTCCGTAATCAACCGTTATCAAGACCCAACCCCCCCCCCCCCCCCCCCCCCCCCTTGACTTTTTTCCTAGAAAACACTTTTCTCTACGTTTCATGCTACCCTGATCATGCTATCATGATGAGCCGAAATCATTGTTATGATATCCGGCCAAGCACCTTCTAAACTACTTACTATTATAACCGGATATCAGATATTCGATCAATTTCTAAATTTTATCACTATCAGAGTGAAATTGAGTGGAATTTGAATTAAAATATTGTCAAATTGTTATTATTCTCGAGGTAAAAAAGAAAATTTTGATTACGTAATCAACTACCAAACCCCCCCCCCCCCCCCCCCCCCCGTAATCAACCGTAAGCATTTGGAAACCCCCCCTCCCCCCTCGGCTGATTACGTAATATGTGAACGACCCCTAACATATAAACTGTTTTCTTCTCTACGATTCACTGATTCATGGGCAATAGAAGTGAGAATCACGGTCCACCCTGAAATCTGATTTCTATAACCAAATTGTGATTTTTATAACGAAATTATGGTAGCAAACGCCAATAAAGTTACAGCCCTCCATCCACTGCTTCAAAAGTCTTCTCTAGCACATATGAGACTTCAGGTAAAATATGATGATCACCACCCCCTTGGAACCCCATAATCTGAGTCGGCGGGTTTTTTTATGACTGGTAAAATTTTTGACCGGGAAAAATATGGCGGAATCTTCCAAAACCCACCACTTTATCCCGGTTATGATATTCCCGAGTAAGGTATTATAAATATAGAGTTCAAGTCACTTGTGTTATAATTTGAATGTTTTCCACTGGTTTCACTAAAACAAAGTATCACTATCTCTTTATGCAGCACTGGGAATATAAGAGTATAAGACGATTTTCCAACAATTTATAATTTACGGGTTTACGGATGTGGTTCAAAGAGTCCTAATTCTAATTTGTAACAATAACCATAATTATGATTATTAGATATTCCTGATTATTAAATATTCCTGATTATTAAATATTCGGCGAAATATTGCTGATTTATAATTTTATATTCCTGATAATTGAGCAGGATTTTATTAATTGCTTACCTCCTCCTCTTGCTCAATGATGCTATCGTCTTGGTGTTGCTGAAACGGAGGCATGGTTAATTTATTTATTATCTAGTTATTTTCAGTCGGTTAAACTCTAGTGATAATGTGCCCACATAAGTAAATGCCCACAATCAACGGATCTCAAGATAAATAACTCTACTCCTTCAGAAAATGTCTTGCACATCATACCATAGTTCTCAGGAGAAATTATGTAATGTAATATTTGCGTGACTACTTTATTTGACTGTCACGAAGCGTCTACAGCAGCACTTATACTACTGCTATTTATTTCCTGTCTGCTTCGTGTTGGTTTATTAAATTTTACTGTCAAGTTGTACCGTTTAATACCCTAGCTAGACAGTACTTAATGCACTACATGATGCAATATAGAAGTAGAGATAGTGGCTTGACCACGCACTGTTTTTGTTCAATTATTAACTAGAATGTACGCATTTTAAAACAATGAGCTTTCTTATTCACACTCGACATGACGGACATCAATTGAACCTTTTAGAATATTATTCCCATATATCTGCCTTTTTCTGACAAATGTGCTTAAAGACCGTTTTTGAAATTTTGGATTATTTTATCCACATTTCTTATTTTGGTCAAGAACTTTCCTTGAAACCATCGGAAACCATTAGAACTGAAGCATTTAAGTCAGAAAACGGCAGATATATAATATTAACTGTATTTTCAATACAAGCTCGATATCCAATCTTAAATCAAATATCATCCAATACACTTATTATAAGTTCGGGAAAATGGATCTAGATAAGGAATTTGGAAACAAAGTACCGAAAGTAGTTCAGGATTTGAGCGGAAATCTGGAAGCGAAATATTCATTAAAGGGACAGTTAGGGGTAACCACAGAAAATAACGCAACAGAATATAAAGTATCTCCCACTCCAAATGATGATACCATTTTAACGAAGGTTCCAATATCATCTTGTTAATCGTATCTGCTTACTACGTTATCACGATTTACGGAATGTGTATGGAAATGAACAACAAATTGAAATACATACGTTTAGCCATTTACAATTTGTTACAATGAAGTACAACAACATAACCAACTTTTACAAAATTGTCAACTTTTTATCTGAGAGTTTTTAAACATTGTAGTGAAATAAGTGAACATATTCAATAGTTTCTCCGATTTCCAGCAAATAAAAGAAGCTTTGAAAGACATACTCCCCAAGTACATCAAGTGTGACGGATCTACTGAAATAAATGCACTAGATCTCAGCTGTAAGGGCTTGCAGCATCTCACTGATGTTCCGAAACCTGACAAGTTTTTTATCTCAAATGACGATCCCTTAAGCAACAGCCTTTGTCTAATAAGTTCTCTTTTTAAAGGTATAATTTATTGAATCTTTTTAACCTGCGACCTTTTCTTTTACTATGGGAGTCAAATTTCACGCTTTCTTTAAAAATTTAAGTTGACAAATTTCTCACCTCTTTGGAAAACCTTTTGTCAAATTTCTTTCGTGAGTGATTCTGTCAATATCATAAGAACCGATAAAAATATGCCATATATACAACTTTCTTGTCACAAGGAAAAACAGTATCTCCTTATCGCCGAATTAGTTCTCTTAGTTAATATATCATAATGCTTTCTACTCGAGAGGTATCAAATATTTGTTAAAAAGAGGGAAAATAAATTAAAAATGTAAATTATGACTGCTAAATTGCTAATCATCTGATATAAATGAGGAATTAGGTTACACTGTTCAATCAGCTCAATTTCACAGCCATTCGGCTTTTTTCGAAAGTTGCAGCAGAATATGCTGTTGTAAAGTGCATACTATAAACTATTGTTTATTACTAACTGTGAAACTTCGATGATCAGTTCAAGGTTAAGCATTTAAAAAGGTCAAATTTCGAAACTCAGGCCCAAACTATAGACCCCAATGAATTGGCAATAACCAGTTTTTAGTACTATACGTCATGCTAAAAACGATGATTAATCCGTCACCTAAAGAGAGGCACTATATTACAGGGGAGAACATGCTACCAAAGGACCACTGCAACCTCCTGCTCTGCCTCTTTACATTTGATCACGTCACTCTACATCGGTTCACTCTCAATGTCACTCTTGATAAGGTATCCAGGACTCTGAAGCGGGGTGGGGTGTTGGTCACCATGTATTTTGATAGCAAGAAACTTGTGCAGCTTATGGAGAGCAAAGTGGTTGAGAAGTTAAGCTTTATGAACTTTGAGAAAGGATCTGAATGTTCTTCAAAGACATTAGATAGCCACTCCTATGCAGAGATATTGTTGAGACCGATTGACTTCAGCAACAAATCAGGTACAAATAATGGTATGTTCACTCCCTTTTTAAGTGCACTAAGATGCATGTTACAATGCTTTTAAGATAAGTCTGGTATGAACGCATTCATTCTCAGAGGACGACAAAACAATGAAATCACAGAAAACATTGCCACCACTTAGGCAACCGACAGACTTTGGTAAGCCATTACTTTTCTTTAAAAGGATCCGTTTGACGCAAAATCTGTTCAATACCGCATTTTTCTTTTGATTTCAATTTATTATGTACGTTCGTTTTCGTCTGCTTTCTGATCTGTTTCAAATCGTATTTATCGTGTAATGACTAGATTCAGTAGAAAGCAGCGAAGGAATATCACCATTCGGGGGTGGGGCCAGGTGATTGATAGCCGCCGTCTGTTACTGTTAAATAATTACAATGGTGCAGACTGCAGTGGTTATAGTTGTACGAGAACATTTATATCATGCTAGACAATAAACATTTTATACAGTTGTATATTGGATTATTTCTATCTTAGCCCAAGACTCTAGGGTCGAAGTGAAGGCTAACTTTGTTAATAATGTCATTTACAAAAAGTGTCAGTTGTACATTTAAAAAAAACATCACAGAATGAATGAACACGTCATAATGAACAGAGAATGAGCAGTTTTCAAGACAACAAACTCAGCAACTACTTTATCGGAATATCACTGGTATGCATCTTGTTCGCCGGACTACCTGCCAACATCATTGCATTTACCTACTTCATAAGCCGGAAATGCAGGAGACCCAATGGCAACTTCTTCAAAATCACCTACATGATCATTACCGCCATCGACACCTTGATCCTGATAGCTTTAGTACCTGTCATCGAGGCCACTTTCCAGCCTCACCGAGCAGGGAGACTGTTCAATAACAACTGCTTCTGCCAGCTGTGGGGCACCCTTTGGGCCATCTTGCCCAACATGTCCATCTTCATGGTTTGTGTCCTCAGTGTTTCACGGTACATCGTCTTAAGCGACTACACAGTTCGTCTTAACAAGAAGCTGTCCTGGCTTATCCCTCTTTTGTGCCTAGCTGTTATACTACTTATGCTGCTTATCACCTACAGTGCTAAGATCGTCACCATGACTTACAGGCCACAATTATTTATGTGTGGCCCAAAAGGATTCGAGAAGCAAGGTGAGACGGACTCACGGAAAGTTCTCCTGCTTGCAATAATTAGTAGCATTCTCTTTACCTCTATCGCTGGGATGACCTTCATTCCAATTTCCATATCGTTCTGTCTGACTCGCTACAAGCTCAGAAGAATTAGAATTCTATCAAATGGTATAGGGGCCTGTACAAACAGACAGTATCATGCATCCTGCACCGTTATGATCGTCACCTTTATTTATATGATCTTCAACCTTCCCTTCAGCCTGGCCGCCATTGGCTTCTTGGTTAAAACTTGCAGTTTGTACTTTTCTTATGGAGAAGACTGGCAGAGGAGCTATGATTTGTTCAAGGAGGAAGGCTCTCCGGCTATGAATGTAATTGCTGTGCTGTTTTTTCTTGTGCTCATTGCAGCCAATAGTGCTGTAAATCCGTTTCTTTATTTCTTAAGAATGAACAATTTTAGAAGATATATTCAGTTTGTACTGGGTGACAGAACAGCTGTTCTTATGAATTCCATGTAAATAAAATACAGAATTTCCCTGAGGTGATACTGGAGTCCTATAATCGATGTTAGCCAATAATGCAACAAAATCAGGCACTGTATCAGGGAACCTTTATTTTGAATTTGATGTTGCTGCATTGCACTTCACACTCAATTATTGTGAATAACCTTTCGTGTTACGTTGTACATTTTGGGCGATTGTCTATTATATTATATTATGTATATTGCATGTTTATCATACAATCCTATTATCACTATGTACATCTACATATTGTTTTATTGCTAACGTAAAAACAGATTCTTCATGGATAATAAATTTCCACTTCATCCGTCATTATGTAGTGTCCTTATCTTAACAAATTAATAAGATACAATTCTATCTTATCATTACATTTACTGCATGAGCAATTAGTTAAATGTAAATCCTCAGAACACGTGATATAAAATTCGTAAACTATAAAGTAGGATCAAATCATTGTTCATCAATGGCTGTGAAACTAATTCATTATATTTAATACTCTTATCTATGATAGAATGCAATTTTCTTTTGCTATGAATTAAAATTTTCTTGACGACTGAGTACAGTATAATAATTTAACTGAATCTAAAGGATTCGAATGCTTAAAAGACTTTGAGAGCAAAAACTTGTACTGCCCCATTCGTAGGGCAACATAGCAGTTACTTATTATTTTATTCATTTCGTCCAAATTATTTTATGCCTTTTCATCAATAACCTGAGTTTTGTGCACTAACAAGGGCCTTTGTTTTCAGTTTTAGGTAACAAGACGAATGTAAAAAGTAAGGAACTGTTTGAAATAAGCATTGAGGAGGATGCAGAACTACAGTATTGTTTCAAGTATCGTGTTAAAGATCAGTTGATGTGTGGACTAGCTTACCCTGTACTGAAAAAGGAAGTATGTGTGTCACTAATGTAACTTTTGTAATAATGATTGACACTTGACTGTCAAGTGATTTGACAGCCTTTAATAAAGATTTCGAGCAAGATCTTACTACATTAATATCTGGGTACTAATTTAATAAATTATTAGGTCATCGTGTTGGAGTGATATTATTTAATCTGAATATATTAACAAGTGTCATGATTTAACTAAAAACGTCAATTTTTAGCACGCTTTCATTTCAGGTGAGACATGAACTAGTGATGAAGAATGGGCTAGCGCTCCGAGAAAGCTTCAATCTGACGAAATATCTTGGCTCTGGGAAGATGAATAATTCAGAGGATTTCCACGATATTTGCAGATGTATTGTATTAGAAGTTTATGAACGGTGATATATCAATGAAATGAACTATTTACATGCGATAAAGTTAGCCTAAATAATCTTTATACGACAAACAAGTTCTTCATTGCATATCGTGATAAGATATTCTTACATTCCCTAAAATACGTATAAATTAACGTTATAACTTGAAAAGGTGTTTTGCTGCAGACCTGCTATGTGATTGTTATATTTCCTGGTATATTGGCACAGTAAGAAAGGTGCTATTCTTTAACATTTACAAAACAACAACAAAATTTTGAAAAATAAAAGCACTCCCAAACCTGTACGCTTGGAGTCTGAACGCTTGAAGACTTGGAGAAGAGCTTAACAAGAAGCTTAGTGACAACATCAATGGGATAACTACCACTTGCCACAAAAAACAACACTCTAAACAACTTCATGTGCCTTGCAGTTACACACACACACAAATAACAGACCAGGAGAAAGAGATGCATGTGTGTACGGGACACTGGTCAAATTGTGGGTTGAGTAGTGTGTCTTGTAGAGAGGATATGTACACACTCGTATTTTATATGATATTTAGTGAGTCACTGTCAGGGCGGCACTCCCATTTGAACAGATGCTTTTGGGGTCGAGTGGCACGTTGGTAATGAATATTTGGTTTGAGAAGGTAAGCAGGACGCCAGGACTGGTTTTTAAATAATATAAGTGTAGAGTTTCAAACACTTTCTCTTGAAGTTTAATTATAGATTTGATTTACTATTACACATCAAGTTCAATAGTATTTATAAATACTGTGAGTAAATTTACTCACAAATTTATAACTATCTTCAATTGATACGAATAACGGATAACATCCGGTATTTATATATATCTAGATGCAATTTTAGTGATTATACTCTATCATGAAAATATATCAACGATAGTATCATTAAAAGTTGTGCTAGGTACTATAAATAACTTAATTTAAAAGCCCTTGCTTCTAATAATAGAGTTTGTGGAGACAAAATCACCCCAAATAGTGCATCGAAGTATCGAACAAAGCAATGCAATAGTATGGTGAAATGAAATACAAACGTCATGAATAAGTATATAGTAAGTACAAATACGATAAGGACTATCAACAATAGCTCATTATATATTATATAGAGGAATAGTACGTAAAAGGAGTGCATATTTATGTTACGTTTTGCTATGTCCAGATAAGTTGTATCATACTAGAAGGAAGAAGAAGGTTAATATGAGTAGAAAGTTGTGGGACCCACCTAATGTACTCCTGTAAGTTAGCAATTGTAAGTGTGGTTTAAAAGGTTTAATACCGGTGAACACTGAACAGTGAAAACATACGATAAGTTTATCAAGTGGTCTTTGTCTGTCCATTCAAAAGCATCGAATATAGGCTGCTGGGGTGAAAGTGGGCGCCACCCCCTCTTCTTTGAAGCCTGCAAACTTGCAATAGATTTCTATACTCGCCTTGAAAGCACTGAAAATGAACTTCTCTCCGCTGCATTTCACGAGCAGATTATGCTGGGCCTTCCTTGGTACACCAACATCTCTAATCTTCTCACCAAATATAACTTCCCCCACTCATCCTCTTCAAAATCCAAGCTCTCTACCCAAATCAGTCACAACATGAGGGAAGAATTTGTAGATACCTGGAAATCTGCCAAGGCATCCTCACCTAAATTAGAATTCTACAATCAAATTAAACATGATTTTGAACCAGAAACATACTTAGGAGTGGTTAAGATCCCCGATGCTCGGAAAAGCTTAACAAGGTTTCGTATTAGTTGCCACAATCTTTACATTGAGAGGGGCCGTTACGAAACCCCCCTAGTACCAAGAGAACATCGATGGTGCACTTTTTGCTTTTTCAGCAAGGGGCTTAAGCCTATTGAGGACGAAATTCATGTTCTAACTGACTGTTTACTCTACTCCTCAGTTAGAGAAAAATTTAACTTCCATCCCAAAAATATTACTGACCTAGCCGGTTTGCTATCCGATAAAACACTAGACCCTACAAAATTTACTGCCACAGCAAGAGCAATCCATTCAATTCTCTCTGTGAACGAAAATTTTACAGCCTACTATAAGAGCCCAGATTTCCACTCAAATACTGGCCAATGCATAATGCTATAGGACCTCAAAAATAGTATTATAAAACATTTCTATTTTATCCCTACACATCTGTAAATAACTAGAATTGTGTAACCTTAAATTATTTCAGAATTATAACTATTGTGAATTCAATAAAATAATTATCACTTTTGTATCCTTGTATCCTTGTATCCTGTATCCTTGTATCCTACGATAAGCGTTGAGTAATGTCTGTTTTCAAATATCTATCCATTATTTTTTGTTTGTTTTGAAAATTCAATTAATTATCATATATATAAATCAAGCGTTACATTTCAGCCATGCAAAATTACAATGACATATAATTTTGATATACTAATTGATAAATGATACTGCAATATAAGTTGCTTAATGTTTGGCCGGATGACAACTAACTAAAAGAGAAAAATAAACTTGATTACATAATAATTAATTCGGCTGAACCAACACATAGCAAGAGCCACATTAACGTTGGGGCCGTCATAATATTATGTTCATTTTACAGGTTGGCAAGTTCTTAATTCTACCAGCAAACTAGAGCCCTAACATGGTAGAACTACAAATAGAGTCCGGATGTGTGCTCATCAATATAAAACGCCTGGTTAAATGTTTAATTTAAACTTGACAACTTTTGAAGCTTCATGAATCATGAGACATGAATTTTATGTGTGTTTCATGATTATGATTTAAACAAAAAGTTCACAGACACGATTGCTTATATATGGAGATTTAAAGCCAAACCAGTTTCAAACTTTCCACCAATCGGTTCATACTGATGAGCACAAATCTGAGTAACGATTAAAAGTTAAAGTAAAATAGTTCGAAGTTTTACATTAATTCAACTCTAATTATAAATGCAAACATTGTGAAAATTCAGGTTTGAGTCCCAGAAAACACATTACCAATAAGGCTTACCTCGATTATCTTTTCTTCATGTATCTTCTGAAACGGATCTGCTAATTGAGCTAGGGGCATGCTACAATGAAATGGGTTAAGGATCTGCAATATGTACTGCCATTAGTATTTAACTAAAATACAGTTAAAGCTCATAGTAAAAACATATTCTCAATGGAACGATATACATGATATTAAAGTAGAGCATTAGATATGATTTATTTAAGGGCAATTCTAACTGACACTGAGTGTTCAAAAAGATTTTACAACGCAATGAATATGATACTTTAAACCTTTTTCGACGAAACTAGATTTTTCAACAATTTTGGGTGATCAAAAATGGCTCATAATCGGCTACGCCCTTTTCAGAGTCTCACAATTTTTCTTTACTGCAAACTGTTTTTAAAGACCACTGATATACAACTTGTGAAGCAACACATGCCCGAAAATGCTTCCTTTTAGAGTAATTGGCCCACAACTGATTTTGAAACCGATTATGCAAACTTATCATAGAAATATAATGTTGTTCAATGAAACTATCGGACTACGATGAATGGGGACTTGCCACCCCATGTAAGATGCAGACTAACCGATCGCGATTTTGCATATTTATTTATAAGTTGTGCGGAAACATATACCCTAAAACACAGAAAAATTATCCAGCAATTGGTAACTGTCTAACTATATAAGGTTAGACACCTAAAAGAAAACTTCTGTCAATAAATAAATAAATAAAAACGGTATACATTTTTTAAAACCAGGATATAAAATAAAACCCTTTGTAACTTATAAAATGGTCGACTAAAAATAAAATTCACATAACAAAACATGCAGTTCAGGCACTTGCCCCCTAAAACAGTTACCTTTTTGAGATACTAATTCCAGGCACTGAAATTTGCATAAAACTACATTTACACCCAAAGTGTAAGGCAAAATGTCCACAAAAGCTATATTAAATAAATAAATAAATTCTAACATTTATTACACGCTTCGACATTAAAATTTACCCAACAAAGATGTACATTAAAGTCATTCAAGCGAGACTTAGTGTTGAAATAGCAAGATTATGGACTTTTTAAACAGTTCAGATTTTATGAACAAATATTTGTATGAAGTTACCAAAATTATGCACTTTCATATCAGTTCAGACATTATGGACAAATATTAGAAATATTATCAAAAGCTTGTTGGAAATAAAACGTCTTTAGGGCATTTTTAAAACATTCTACAGATGATAATGATCTCACTGAGTAGGGTAATTCATTCCAAATTTTTGGTCCACAAAACATAAATGCAGCATCTGTTCGTCTGAAATGAGGAGCAGGAGGAACTTTCAACAAATAAAAGTCATCATCTAGTCTGGAACTTTGTCTTCGTACTTCCCTTAGATTGACGTGTCCTTGTAAGTACTGAGGGGCTATGTTATTAAGACACTTGAAGACCAGAAGTGATATTTTGAACTTAATTCTGAACCGAACAGGCAGAAAGTGGAGCTTTTTGAGGTAAGGCATGATAGGTTCACGTATCTTTTTTCCGTAAAGACCAAAGATAAATCTAGCAGCATTGTTCTGTATCTTTTGTAGCTTATGAAGATTCTTTTCTGTTATTCCATAATAGACTGAGTTGCAGTAGTCTATGAAACAGAGGATATTGGAGTGAACTAACTGAACTTTTAGGTCATGGGAAAGCTTCGAACCGATTCTTGCTAAGTCCCTTTGATTCAAATAACATACTTTGGAGACAGCATTTATTTGAGAGTCCAGATTCATTTGGTGATCGAAAAGGAATCCCAGGTTCTTGGCTTTGCTAACAGGGCAGATTGAGAGGTCTCCTAAATCCATTGTCTGGATTGGGCTGACATATGGTCCTATATCAATGAACTCTGTTTTTTCGTCATTCAGTTTTAGGAAGTTAACTGTCATCCATTGCTTTATCTCCAGAAAGCAATTTTTCACAGCTGTTAAATCAGGATTAGAACTGTGAACATCAAAAGTAAAGTACACCTGTGTGTCATCTGCATACAAATGTATCGAGAAACCATATTTTGTGACAATTTCTTCAAGATCTCTGGTATACAATATGAACAGTAGCGGTCCTAAAATGGATCCTTGAGGTACACCAATATCCAGATAGCCTTCAGAAGATGTGGCTTTTTTTACTTTAACCTTGAATGTGCGATTATTAAGGTAACATTGTAACCAGCTGAGTGCTAGTTCTGTAATACCATACGCATTCTTGAGTTTCGTAAGAAGGAGGTTATGGTTTATGGTGTCGAAAGCAGCTGATAGATCTAAGAGTAGAAGCACAACATTCGATTTGCTGTCAATCATCATTAGAATATCATTATGTATTTTGGTAACTGCAGTTTCACAACTATGGAATTTTCTATAGCCTGATTGATATGGGGAAAACAGGTTGTTGACATCAGCATATTCATTTAATTGGCAATGAACTACTTTTTCTAGTATTTTGGACAGATAAGTTAGATTGCTAATCGGTCGATAGTTTTTCAGCTCATCAACATCTAAGGTAGGTTTCTTGAGTCCAGGCCTAATAGATGCTTCTTTTAGGGCAGAGGGAAACTTTCCGACTCTTAGTGATTCATTCACGATGTAATGGATGATTGGGAGAAGCTCGGGTAAGCAGTTCTTGAAGAACCACATTGGTATGACATCGAGTACGCTTGATTTATTGGGAAGACTCCTAATTAAGGTTTCAAGGTCTGATAATGAGACTTCCTTAAACTGATTAAGTCTACACTTTGCATTATCTATCGAAGTAGAGTCCTTGGTACCTTGACCGTTTAGGGAAGTGTTTTGAATTTCCTTCTCAATATTAGAGTAAATGGTCTTTACTTTTTGATCGAAGAAAGTCTTGAGTTTGGCAGCCACTTCGATATCTTCACCATTTGGCAATTTGTTGGAGCCATATTCCTTATCTAAAAGTTTATTTATGACTTTATAGGTCCCTTTCGAGTCTCCTTTGCAAGAACTGAGCTGTTTATCATAGTAGCCATCCCTAGCTCGATTGATAGTGATTTCTGCGTCAACACATTTTTCAAAATGAGTAGTTTTAAACTCATCATTCTCTGGATACTTTTTGGCTTTTCGTTTTGCCCTTCTCCTCTCTCTGACAGCAATTTGACATTTATTATCCCAAAAATCAGACTTTTCAGCAGTAAATCGTTTCGTAATAAGTGGGGCATGTTTGTCTAGCACCTGTTCAAGGACATTTTGATAAAGGTTCACAGCCTCGTCTAAGGATTGATATTCAGAAAGGTTAAGCTCTGAACAAAACAGATCTTCCCTGAACTTATCGATGTCAATTTTGCTTAGCTCTCTGACATCTTTTTCTTCATATGTACGAGCTTTATGAAAATCGAATGTGACTGGGACCTGAAAACTTACTAGATAGTGATCAGAGCTGGTTCCAGTGCTTGTCTCTACCATCATATCTGTTACAGACAATGAGTCACTTACACAGCCTAGAGTAAATAACAAGTCCAGTGTCCCGCCGGAGATGTGAGTAGGAGAGTCGACATGCTGAAGGAAGCCTTTGCTCTCACAAAGAGCAATAAAGTTCTGGGCAACATTATTGTATATGTCTTCAACATGGAAATTAAAGTCACCACAAATAATTGGAGATCCAGTTTTAAGCAGAAGATTGTCCAGGTATCCATCAAAGTCATCCATAAACTTAGATATTTTTGTTTCATCATATTTCGCTTTGGCCTGAGTGCTGCGATAAACTACACTATTCATAATTATGTTTCACAAAAATTATGAATATAGCTTTTGTGGACAACCTGTCAATAACACTTTTCACATGATCCATTGACACAGCCTGTGGACAACCTGTCAATAACACTTTTCACATGATCCATTGACACAGCCTGAAGGTGACTGCATAATAATGGGTCAAAGTGGAATCACACGATAATGAGCTTGCAGCTTTTGATGAAAATGTGTTAAATGTTGGTCTCGGCCTGGTATTATGCTTGTATAATTGGTTTTGGATCTCTTGCCTATTGTTTTTTTAAATTGTGTTGGTATTATGAGCTAATATGTACATGTGATATATAAAAGTATGTAGCGAGCATATTTTATAATTATATTGTGTATAGCAAGCAGTTGTAACTTAACTGCTGTATGACAATATAGCTTAAAAATTGAATTTAACTTAAGTGTATCAATATTATCCGATTTTGAATATACTATAATCAATAATGACGAACCCGTCACCACTCTCAGCAGTCAACCAAGGCTTATAAAAGCTTAACGGCGCCTGGGTCCTTTCACCAACTGCAACTGTGATAAAAATGTTAGGGGTGTTTCTTATGAACAGGGTCAACATGTGAACTGTATTAAAACGACAATTATATCATTTTTAACAATCAGTATCTTAAGGCGCAGTTTCAAGTTTATTATTCATTTTATTTATAAAATTGATTGAATACAGGTTAGACAGAAACAATTTAAAGGGCTAGTCCGAAGAGGCAGTAGAACAAGTAATGAACAAAACCTTGATAGCTAGTTAGCCTTATTTTACCCTACCTTAAAAGACGGAAAGGGTAGGTAGAGTCTACCATCGACCTAAAGTATTCTCGTGTAATGTATACCATAAGGTCAAAGGATAGTTTAAGAGGGCAGGGGGGGTCCTCATGGAAATTGTCTCAAAATTGATTTTTTAGTTGTTTCTAATAGAGGGGAGTGATGTCTATCAGATGCTTTTAATCCCATAGAAAAATATTGTTCCTAGCCGAAATTATTGCCGGTCAAAGGTCAGCGCTTGTGTGTAATTGTATTGCACAAGGGACTTTTGATCGCGTCCTGAAAATCGACTCTAAAAATCTATCTTCTCCTACATGTTTTGAGCAATCACTCTGAAACTTTCAGGATATGTTCTAGGGACCATTTAGAAGATATAAGCCGGATGGAATTTTGAGATAGGCCTTTAAAAAATTTTTATTCGATTTTGAAAATCTTGGACCTCGTTTTTTGATGATTTTTCGAGGCTTCTCGTCCAGAGGGCACCCGATACACTAGGCACAATGCTCAAATAATTGATAGGTCGGATACTTCAACTTACA